TGTGGTTACTATGACTTTACTTCCCTTTGCACCAACTGTAAGCAAAGCCCTTAGACTATCCCATATTTCATGACTTTCACTCCACACATCATCTAAAACTAGTAAAAATCTCTTCTCCTGGAGTTGATTTATAAGGGAAATCTGCATTGAATCCATGTTCATTGGAGAAAATTCTCTTCCTGTTGTTGATTCTATAATCAATCTAACAAGCCTTTTAAGTTCAAACTCCTCAGATATACAAACCCACATCCTCTTTTGGAAGTGCCCACAAACCCTTTCATCATTGTAGACTAATCCTGCAAGTGTTGTCTTGCCAAGCCCTCCTAAGCCAACAATACCTATTACGCCAATACATCTCCAACGGAAGTATTCATGACAAATTCTACTATCTTCTCTTTATCTACCTCCCTTCCATAAACTTCTGATTCCTTTATAAAGGAACCTGTTTCTTCCCTTGTAATGCTTTTTTCTAGCTTAAAGCTTCGAACTACTCCTTCCTTGAGATGGAACTTAGATCTTACTTCTGCAATCTCATCTAATCTCTCATTGATCTCCTTCACCCTCAGTGCAATCTAACGTTGAAAAGCAATGTTCCTAGGGAGGTAAAGTAAGTTGCATACCTTTTTCTTCATGTTGGCTTTCTTCAATTTTGCCGCTTTGAAGGCAAAGTCATCAAGCACATCATCGGCATCATAAGCCAACTCTTTGAGCTCACTTAGCCAGCTCCTAAGAGCTTTCTCCTTCACCTGCCTAACTTCGGCATCTTCAAGCACATCTTGTATGGTTGAAAGAGTCCTTTCAAGCTTTCGAATTTCTTTGTCCATGCCGGTCTGCATTGCAAACTCTGCAATTGCTTTTGATGCCAGTTTATCAGAGATAAACCTGAGGAGGCTGGTGGCTACTATTTCTGCCATTTTCTCGATCTTCGAAGTAATTGACCAGGTTGATAAGATGGCAATTCATTATATGGACAAGCTAGTTTTGGATTGGATGTGAACTCAAAGGGATTACTGTGGAAGGTGATAATGCAAGTGTGATTGAGTACATGCAAAAGCTCAAGTTTAAGGAACTAAAGAAGCAACAACCAGATGATTGGGAGAAATGGAATTGGATTAAGTTGTTCTAATAGGTGCTGTTTGTGCATACATACAAAAGATTCAACATAGCGGCCCATTTTTGTGCTAAACAATTTTTAGATGGTTCTTTTCTTTGGGACATATGAGATAGAAACATATGTAATCCTCAAGAATGTTTTGATATTCTTGAGGATGATAGTAGCTCTCTCTCTCTAGCTAAAGTTTTAATTCTTAGTTGTAATAGTTTTTTGATGAATGCAAATGCAAAAGTTCAGCTCTCTCTCTATACTTCTCTCTCTCTCTCTCTCTCTCTCTCTCTCTCTTTATCACTTTCTCTCGTTTACTCTCACTCTCTCTCTCTTTCTCTCTCTCACACACTCCCTAAATCTCCCTTCCTCTCCTTCTCTCTATTTTGTCCTCTCCTTCTCCCTCGCTCTCTCTTGCCCTGCTTCTAAAAAATAGATGTTGTACTACCTCTCTTCCTATGACACACTCTCTCTACCTTCTCAAAATCCTCACTCTTGTCCCTTCTCTCTTGCTCTCTATATCTAAATCTTTTCTCTCTCTCTCTCTCTCTATATATATATATATATATATATCCCTCTTTCTCTCCCTCTCTTTCACTATCTATCTGTCTCTCTCCCTCTATCTCCCTATCTCATTCCTCTCTCTCTCTCTCTCACTCCCCTTTATTCTCTCTCTCTCTCTCTCTCTCCTTCTATCTTCCTCTTTACCTCTCTCTCTCTCTTTCTCTCTCTTCTCTCTCTCTCCCTCTCTATCTCTCTCTCTCTCCTTTTCTCTCTCTCTCCCTCTCTCTCTTATAATATGTATAGGAATATCTCAATTTTTTTTATCTTTTGACATAATATTATATATTAATAAATTAATCAATGCTTGAAGGCCTAAAAAAATTGCATATTATTTCTATGGAATGCTGAAATCTCTCAAAGGTAGCTCTTGCGGATTCATTGTGACCTAGAATGAACAAAATAATTTTAAGAACTTCTTTACTACTTGTTCAATGTGAACCACTTAAATAAAAAAAGTGATTCTAACTTGCAAAGTCAGTCATTAAATATAACTTAGGATGTCCAGAATATATTATGAAACCTAACGGAATGTCCGAAAAGTAACCCTTGTAATCTATCTCTACTTTAACCGAATGTCATGCAAGGCCTTTGTTCATGTAAATTTAGAAATAATCATTTTGCAAAAAACATGAAGCCACCAATATATTTATAAATTTACTAATTTTCATTTGATCATTACTTGCCAATATTCCATCATTACATTCATCATTGGAGCAACTCTCACTATCCTATGACAATATGTTCTTCAAAAACATACACATTATACATATATTTTATTAAAATAATTTCCTACACACAATAACTACATATATGCATACATTATGTCAAAATCTAAAAACATTACATAAGCATAAAAATTGGGAAAATAGATTATGTGCATTTGGGAATATGAAATAAGATAGATTCTATTGATTTAATAATCAAGCAGATAAGTGAGAGGTCTATGCATTAAAGGCAATAATAACACTTAAATACTATTTATTACTAGGATATGTACTAACTATCATCGTGTTAGAAAATATATCCAAGCCAAACTGGGAAAAGCATTTTTTATACATAGATGGAAAGGGCTACATTGTTTTGGAATTCATATAATAGTTTGTAGATGTTCAGTAATTTAGCAATGGACATTCATAATGAGAGATGACTACTAATTTATAGTAAATTTCAAAAATTGAACTCTCCCAGGTAAAGAAAGAAAATGTACCTTCCAACCATCTAGCAAAGATGTGATTTTATTCAAAAGCTATTGAAAGTGTGATGATTTAAGCCTCTCATCCGAAATAGAAATCCCTAAATAAGTGAGATAAGAATTTGATTGTGAAATGGCCAAGATAGTACAAAACTGAGAGGCTTCTTGAACAGTATGAGAGAAAATAATTAAGCTCTTGGAAGGGTTTATTAGCAGTCTTGAAGCTTCAACAAAATCACTAAGGATTTTATTCAAATGTAAAGCATTTTGAGTCGAGGCTTTACCAAACACCAACAAATCATCCGCATACATAAGATGATTAAATGATTGACCTTTCAATTTAAAACCAACTAACTTATTTAGTAATGAGTCAGATGATAAAATGCAAGATAAAGCATCCATCACTAAGAAGAAGAGCAAGGGTGATAATGGACATCCTTATCTTAGTCCGGAAGAAGAATTGAAAAACCCCTCTAGAGATCTTTTCAAGCAAATTGAAAAATGAACATTAGAAATATAACCTTTAACTCATTTGATAAAAACATCCATGAAACCTTTTTGCCATATCAAAATCCTTCCTAATATCGAGCTTGGCACTAAAAAGATTATGAGAAAATTTAAATTCTCTAAGAACTTCAGAAGCAAGCATGATATTATTAGTAGTACTCCTCTTATAAATGAAACCAGCTTGGCTTTTATGGATAATGAAAGGTAAAATTATTTTAAGTCTATTTGCTAATAATTTAGCCATAATTTTATAAAAAACATTGCACAGAGAAACCGACCTGAAATCATTAATATTAGAAGCATGAGTACCTTTGGAAATAAGAGTAATAGCTGAAGCTTTTGCTCCTTTAGATAAATGGTCAAAATAAAAATATCTTTTAACTACATTGCACAAACAAAACCCAATGATATGCCAAGTCTTTTTATAAAACTCAAAAGTAAAATCATCAGGTCCTAGGGTCAAGTACGAGTGACCATAAAAAACCACCGACTTTATTTCCTCATATGTGAAAGGAACCGTCATCGAGCTAACCATATGAGATGGAATACCATTACCACTGGAATGTCATAATTATCATCTTTAACAAGTTTAGGATAATTAAAGAGCTCTTTGAAATGTTTAATAATAGCCTCATCAATATCCTCATGCTTAACAAAACAACCTAAAGGAGTAGTGATTTCTTTTAATACATTACAGTTATTTCTCGCTTTGATATGAGCATATAAAAATCACAGGTCATCTTCATCGTGTGATCTAACCAAGAAGACCAAGCATTGTTCATAATGTTAAACTTGTCCCCAATACATTTTTAAAGAGTATTTAAATTAGGATCCAGAGGAAAGTTTTGCAAGTCATCCATACAATGATTATGCTTGTCATTTAACTCTAACATAGAGTTATAAATGTAGTTGGAAGAAGACCAATTCCTCTCCTTAAGAGATTTTTTCAAAACATGCAGAGATTTGTAGAAAGCTGCAATAGGACTGCTATTTATAGGCATGTCAAATGCATTGATAACATCCTCCCAAAACCCTTCCATATTAATCCATGAGTTTTTAAAAAAGAATCTTGAAGAAATTTTATCCCTTTAAGAGGTAAACATGATTAAAGGAGAGTGATCAGAAAAAAACAAAGGCAAAACTTTATAGAAAGCTAAGGGGAAGAAATCCAACATTTTATTATCAACAAGAATTCTGTCTAATTTAATATGAATTGGGGAGTCCACCAATTGGTTATATACCAAGTATAAAAAAGCCCAACTGATGCTAAATCCAGAACCCCGCAATCATAGATTATTTTTTTAAGTTCTCCCAACTAATTTGGATGTAAGGAATTGTCGCCAGCTTTCTCACTATCAAACCTGTAACAGTTAAAGTCACCCATAATAATCCAAGCTCGAGTTGGATCAGGTATTTAACTTCTCAACTAGCCCCATAAAATTCTTCTATCCACAATGTTGTTAGCTGCATAAATGATAGAGAGTAAAATGAGAGGTTGAGACCCCACCATAAGGGTGCCATGAAAGATTTGAGAAGAGGTGAAGATGGGTGAAAAGAGATGTATAAGGCGTTCAAAGAGCAAGAGGCAGATCTACAATTTTAATCCATAGATGAATAGAAGATGATTCATTTCCTTAAGATTTGAACTTTTGCGACCATTTTTGGAGTATGAATGGTCTTCCCAACAAGAACCATGGCCCTCCGGACCAAATCATATCATAGCCTTCTTGCTATGTGAACTCTATCAAGAGAAATCCATCCGCCAGAGAAAGTAAAGAAAATAAACCTATTAATACCCAAACCTTTTTCGTTGCTGTGAGAAGTCTTTCATAATATGGCCTTTGTCCCACAAGTGATAGCGACCAAAGAGAAAGCCCCTTTGAAAGATCATCCTCTTTGAAAGAGAGCTTCTTGTTGGATGACTATGGCACCCCAAGAGGGGGGGGGGTGAATTGGCATTTTAAATTTTTTTTATTAAAAGAAGAAAATTAAAATTATTTTAAAGCAATTTTGAAAAGAGTAAGTAATCACACAATAATTCTTATAAAAAAAGATTGAAAAATAAATGCAATGAATGAGAATAAGAGGCACAATATTTTTAAGTGGTTCGGCCCGGATTCCAATCTGACCTACGTCCACGCTAGCCAACTCTCAGGCTAGAATTCACTAATCCTAGGTTTGCTTTGCAAACCTCACTTCTTTAAACCAAAGAAGTTTTTTTACAACCTAAGTACTCTCCTACACGGGCGAGTACAACCCAATCTAATTATAATTAAAACTTCACTAAGCCAAATGGCTTAGATCAAGAAAATGAAAAATACAATTTGATATAAATAAGAAAAACTCAAATAATCTTGTAATAAAATATCCACAATATTTGAGATGATATTACAAATAAATCTTAATCACCTCACTATTTGCAAATGGAATATTAAACTTGCTCACTTTAAGATAGATTTATATTTTGTTTAAAATAAGAATAATATTTTAAATAAAAATATATTCTTGCTGATTTAAACTTTAACTTTTCAAATAAAGTAAAATGAATA